GCTGGTCTGCTTGTCCTTTCTAGTGGGAATGTCCCACCTCATAAGGTTCTGAATGGGACTCAGGATTCCACCTAAGGTAGTATACTCTAAAGGCTTTTGCACGAGGCCTATTTCACTGGGCAAGTTCTAGACCCCCTTTTAGGTATTCCAGTCAGTTATAGGCTGAAGACGGGTTTACAAGTTTTCTCTAATCATGTTCCCCAACATTCCTTTCTATCCCACTCAGGTGTCTATTTTACAGTAGTAGACAAGGGAAACTAATATTCTTAAGACAGTCGAGCATTTTAGTATTATTTCCCCTCTTCAAGCTATACCTTGATCCCTGTATCCCAGAACCTTGTTCCAAGGTTGAACATGCATCACTATTCACCTCTGTCCCACTTAGGCCATGCAAACCTGTCTCAGTGTTCCCCTATGTATCTTGTTCTTCTGCCTACCCCCCCTTTTTTTCCTTTTTTTTGTGTTTTATTGTGAGTTATGTGATAGTTTACACATAATGGGAGAACATTAATTTTACATTCATCCCATCGTATATTGTTTCTTTGCCATGGTTACAATCCCCTTCATGCATCATCAACCAACAAAACGGTATACCCTGCAAGCCTGCCCCCAGGTCCTCAGAACACATCCCCTTTCCCTCTCTGGGTCTAAAGACCCCAGCCGCTCCATCTTTCCACATTGTCTGTATTTTTCCACGTAATCGTCTCTGCCTCCATCTCTGGTGTCATTACTTCTCTGGGTACAGTCCCACTCTCCACTCTTCTCCCTTGATGGTCCCAGGGACCTCCGCTTATAAACTGCAAAGTTAATCACTTCCCTCTTTGCTACAAAACGTCTACCGTTACATTTCCAACCCTCACAAACAGTCCTGATAACAATTATTCACTATTGTATCACAAGAGACCTATCCCACATTTCCTTTCATCAGCTCTGCCAACACAGATTGGGTACTACTCATTGGAGATTTTACCTTCCTCCACACCCTCTGGATCTAGGATCCTTCTTGAAAGCTTGTCTCCTCCACCTTCTTGTATTTTCCTCTTCTTATATTTTCCTAGATCCCTGTATCCCAGAGCCCTGTTGTTCCAAGGTTGAGGATGCATCACTATTAACCTCTGTCCCACTTAGGAAATGCAAACCTGTCTCAATGTTCCCCTATCTATCACTTTCTTCCATTTCCTCCCCCTTCCTGTATTCCCCTCCCCAACAACCAAACTAAACCCCTCACCACAACCCCACTGTTGAGGTTACCTTGTATTCCATTAATTCTTCCCTCCATTTAAGACAGTCTATTTTATTCAGTATTCTACCTGACCTTCCCACCACCTGGATCTCTGTTCTTTCTTTCACATTGTAATTGTTTTGATCATAGACTGACCTCCCAGATCCTCTATTCTTATAATTTTTTCTGTTCTCGACTCTTCCATTTGTCAATTGAGTTCAGGGTGATGCTGCCACGTACATCATTCTGTAGTTGTTGTCTGTTCTTGTTGGTT